AGACTGACGTCTTTTCATTGGTCAGCCGGTTAGCGCGGTCGATGCTAATAATAAACACACACACTCACACACACGGACACCTTCGAGCTAGCTCGTTTTCTGTCGATGCGAACTCGCCACGTGTTCAAACGTCATGGGCTACTGATCGACCAACTTCCACCAGGGCCAATCGGTTGGGATCTCTGCGACAACGATAGTGGTGAGAGTAATTCTTTTGGGAGTGACGAAGACGAAGGAAAGGGAAAGGGGAGAAAGGAGGATGACGACGATGGAGCAGAAAAACATGGAGGAGTGGAAGAGAGCAAAGGGTTTGAGCCAGATGACCTTCCCCACAACAAGAAACGTAGGGCTAGGGAAGAACTGCCCAGAGATTCTTCTTGTCGAAATGAGGATCAGAATGATGGTAGCGAAAACAAGGAGGACACTGGTGAAAGTGCTCCTAAACGAACTCGAGTACTAGGTAATAGCCTTGGTAGACGGGTGCATTTTTCGTCTGTTGCTGCTGTTTCTGTTTTTGATCCGAAGGATGGCTTAGCCTCCCCCATGCTGCCCCCTCACGGGGTCCCAGTTCATGGTAGATAGAAGTGTTTTGTGTTTTCAACCGCACTAAGACTGTCGTCTTTTCATTGGTCAGCCGGTTAGCGCGGTGTATGCTAATAATAAAAGCACACACGGACATCAATTTGAGAACAGTAATTAATTCAGGGGTCGGGCTGACAGGCGGTGTTATTCAACGTGCGCAGAACCCAGGCGGGGAAACAAAAAGGACCCATCTAAAATAGTTTTTTTGCGAAAAAAAAAACTTCGCTATCGCTCCGTTTTTTTTTTTCGCATGATGCGCGCTTCGCGCGCGGAAAAAACTCCTAAAACAGATTTGCGAAAAAAATATCTCCGCTATCGCTCCGTTTTTTTTCGCACGCGCGCTTCGCGCGCGGAAAAAACTCCTATAATTTTTTTAGAATCCACATGTAAGGACACAGGCTTCCCTCGTTGGGGGGAGGCCCAGGTCGCAGTAGTCTTTACCCACTTCTAATCTGTACGACGAGAAAATCACACGAGCCAGCCAAGTAACAGACGCACGAGCCTACTGCAGGTACTTTTGTGAAACCACCACAAAAAACTATTCCACCTCCAACTCTAGTAGCAACGATGGATTTATTGTGGCGCATAAAGGAAGGGGGTGGTGGTGTGGATGACAGGAGTAGAAGTGCTGTAACCATTTATTGTTGTTGCACATACAAAAGTAGGACCAAGATACGATCCGAACTGAGTATCTTACTGATGGTTGATCAGCAAGAGACCCAACTATGGATGCGTCCCTCTTAGCCCCAACTGTGGAGCTTGGGAATCCGAGACCCTCGGGCTTGGTCTTCCTCGCCCCTTCGGCGGGACACTCTCTCATTTTTTGTTTCTCTCTTCTGAGACCCTCTCCTCTCTGAATATCAACGAAGATAACTGCCAGCCCAGAACGGGGGGCGGTCCATCATCACCAGCTAGAGAGGGGGGTTACGCTGGTTGGTGGGACTCCCTCTCTCTCCAGAGAAAAGGCGAAAAGGCTGGCAGCGTTGAACAACAAACAACGGAAACAACAACATCATCAGCGATGAACCCCAGACCAACCAAACGTTCCCCGCTTCCTCCGCCGTCGCTAACAGCAGTATGTGTGTGTGTCCCGCCCCCCTTGTCCATGTTCCCTGTCTCTGTGTAGTGCGTGTCTTGCCAGTAGCAGCAGCAGCAGTGTGTGCAGCACGGCAGTGCGTCGTGGTTTCTTGCGTGCGTGTAATAAATAGTTTGTTGCCCAAATAACAAAAAAAATTACGCCTCCCGGCCGAGAAGTCGGGGATGCGTCCATGTGACATATATATTTGCACAAACGGTGTGCTATCTCGAGACACCGACCACGAATTGCAAAGGTAACGGTTGGGACAGCTCGGGCAAAATGTTACTTGTTGTGCGCAAGTTTTAGTTTGCAATTTGGTGCCGAGATGTTGGAATGGGCTCTGCTGGGTTATTTAGGGCGCGCAGACAGACAGACAGACAGACAGACAGACAGCCATTGCGTCTTTTTCACGCCCCTGGGCATGAAAATTGCTTTTTTTCTCGTGCGCACATACATCCACACACGATCCCTCTAAACAGCTTTTACCCCTATTCGGGCCACTCTTTTCGCAAAAAAAAAACTATTATTAAAGATGCATGTTTTGGCGTTTCTAGAGGCCTTGGGCAATAATATACATACATGGAAACAGGTGTTGGAAGTATTGTGATACTACTGGTTGCAACATCTTCAACCGTGTCTGAGTCATATTTTCCGTGTTAAGAAAATAAAACACGAGTTCGTCAAACTCAGTTGAAGATGTGGTCCATAGCAAAAGTACAGAAAATCATACCAAAAAATATACATACATATTTTTGTTTTGTTTGTTTTTCTGCCATCATTATTGGAGTCTGTCGTCTGCCCTTCTGGCCCCTATCCTCCACTTCTACTAGCTAGACGACCCGACCGGGGCCACATGGGAGGGGGGGATTGGACCCCCTTCTGCGGTTCATCATGCCTGAAGTATTTTTATCGCGAGAAGGGTGCAGCAATCCCTTCCCTCGCGACTTACAAAGTCGAATGTAGTTATTTAAACTAACAACGAGCTTTCTTTGCAGCGCATCGCTTTCTTCCTAGACCAGGATTTATTTAGTGAGAAAAACACTCACTCTGCCGAGACTCGAACCCATGACCTGGCTCTTAGCAGACTGCGCGGCTACCCACTAGACCACCGGGGCGACCGATGTTGTATATGTGCGAGTGAGTCTTGTCCCTTGAGAACCTACACATTACGCGGTAGAACTTTTCGTCCTCGCTGCAAACTTTTGCATCGCATCAGTTTGTATGCGCGAGAGAGGGATACGCCGCACGCCATCTCGTGCGGCCTATTTCGTCCCCGCTACGGCGGTGTCTTCCTGGCTGCTGGCCTACGTCAGCGTGCCAGCTCAGCGTGCCAGCTCAGCGTGCCAGCTCAGTCCCCGCCACGTCGGCTTATCCGATGGCGGTGCCCTCGCTCTGCTCGCACCCCTCTGTCACTTCTATCCTTGTCCCTTCGGCTCTCACCCGAGATCCAACTCTGTCAACCTTTGTCTGTCCGGTGCTTTCTACGCATCGTCCATACCCACGACCGTTGCTCACGGAGGCCTCTTGTACCTTACAAGAGTCGAGGATTCACACCCTCCTGCGGTGCTTGTCTGAGAGCCAACCTATACCTGGCGTCAGCGGCAGGATCTTTTCTGGTGAACCTCTCAGATTTGCGCTGCAGTGTCCTCCATATCCCACCATGTCCAACCCCGGGGTCGAAGAAACGAAAATGAACCACCCCGAGGGTGGATCTTCCACGGGCGAGGGCGGCCTTCCGCCCGCTCCTGCCCCCACCCCTGCTCCTGCTGCCGCGCAGGAGACTCAATCCCCTGTCTCGCCCTCCAGCGACTCAGTCAACGTCGGCCACCAGCTGCGTGGCGACGCTCTCGAGACGCACCAGGAGCAGCTCGCGCTCGCTGCGTCTCGCGAGCCCGCCGCCGCCGCCGCCATGGATATCGACGACGACCTCGTCTCTCACCCTAGCGTCGCCAACTCCCACCCCGTCACCGAGACCCCTCCCCCTGGCGCCTCCGTCCTCGACGCAACGATCGCGAGCCTCACCCGCTACATCGAGAACGAGTCAGAAAAGCTCGCCCGGGGAGACATCACGGAGCTGAGCCTTCACACCATGGAAGTTATGGATAAGGTGGTGAGTCTGCGTGCAGCTGCCTGTAGTCAATCTTCCTCGGTGTCCCCGTCTGTGTCCCACAGCTCTGTCTCTGTCCCTTCGCTAGCTCGTAGCTTTGCCGAGGCCCTGTCAACTAAGTCTCACCGTGTCACGCTGTCCGCCAACGATGTCAAGCAGCTCCCCCGTCTCACGGGATCTGCTGACACCGATGTCATTTCTTGTCTCAACCAGTTCAGGCTAGTCTGCAGTTTCCGTGTCAAGGCAGTAGCACCCGCTTCTACCACCCCGTCTGACCTAGAGTCGATGTCTGATCAAGCCGCTTTCGAGCACCTGTCGCTGATCTGTGATGGCCCCATCCTGTCTTTGTACCAACAAATCATGGACGGCTCAATCAACTGGGAACAACCCCAAGGGTCTGCTTCCACCGATAGCCCTGGCTCTCACACTTGTCCCACGAACTGGTCCGAGCTCAAAACCGCCATGCTCGATTGTCTCATGCCGTCCAATTCTGTAGAGGAGTCTGCCCTCCGTCTCGCCACTTTCCAAATGGACAAGACGGAATCTGTCGCAGCGTATGCCCTCCGCTATCAAGCAGAAATGTCACGCTTCGAAGCGTCTGTCGAACGGTTTTCACAAGGGGCTTCCCCCTATGCCGCTCTGTCTGTCGTCCTGTTTCGCAATGGCCTTGTCCCTGATATCAAATTCCTCGCTAGTTAGGAGCAGCACCCTAAAACCATGCAGGGTGCTGTGTCACAGGCTCGTCGCCTTGAGGCTTCCAACCTCACTGGCCTTAACCCTGGTCGTGCTGATGCAATCACCAGTGCCATGTCTTTCACGCATGTCCCCAATCGCACCGCTATCGCCCAGCAGTACAACGCGATCCAGCTCCGGAACGCCGCCGGAATTGTCCCCGCGCGTCGATCTGACTCGGGCTCCGGTTCTGGCTCTGGTGGTGGGTCGGTCTCTGGGGGTCGCTCTGGTTCCGGTGGCCGCGGAGGAGGCAACTCCAACCGCAACCGCCGCAGCAAGGGCAAAACCCCCGCCGCTCCCCGGCCCCGCTGTACCTACTCGAAGTGCAAGAAGCCCCTCGGACACACATTCGAGACGTGCTTCCAGCGCCAGCGGGACGAGCGGGACGAGGACTCCGGCAACGGAGGCAGCAGCGGGGGCGGCTCCGGCGGCGGAGGGGGAGGCAAGCGCGCCAAGAATCCGTCCACCTCCAACAACTAGGGATGCCCTGCTGCTGCTGCGCCTGTACTAGTAGGGAATTGTTCTGGTGTTGCCAGTAGAGGCGTGAAGAGGAAACTCTCCACGTCCGTAACTGTGTCTGTCTCTACCCCCGACTTTCTTGTCCCCCGTGTCCCTGTCCGTCATGGTAACTATGTAGTGCCTAGAGTCCGCGCCCGTCCTCACGGTAC